GGGTATTTTTTGTTATATGTAGGCCTACTTTTTGTAAATCATAGTTCACCAACTTGGGCAGCATTTCTCAATATTATGAATATCACAACTCTACCCAAGAAAACCTCTCCCTAGGATGCTCTATTAATAATTTAAAATTAAGTGCATTCTTGGCGGTCGGAACAAGAACTAAACAGAAACCTTAAAAAGTTCGTTCCTTTGTAAACCGAGCGACATTGTCGAAAACCGTAGAGGTGTAGAAAATATGCCCACGGCTCTAGAGTTTTTGGCCACGCTACCGGCCTAACTGCCCTAATTTTTTTTCTGTAATCTGTAATTTCATATAATCAACTTGAATGATTTATTGTTTTCAAAGCTTTAGTGATCGATACAAATACGAAATTAACCAACGATTAATTTCATATTATTAAGAAGGATATGATTGCTGTCTCTAAGCCGCAGGCCATCTTCAAATGGGGGGCCCAGGCTTTGGCCCACCATCGCCCTACCGTTAATATGGCACTGTTTATGGCTTCACCAGGAAGTGTCTTTCAATTATTATTTTTTTGGCTTCCTCTCGGAAGATTTTTCTGACTTTCTCCAGAAGCTTGTTCCAAACTACCCCGGGAAACTTTATTTTGCATCTCGATGAAGTTTCTTCAAATTTCCACGCGTAGTTTTTTAAGGTTTTTTTTTCTAAAAGCTGGAAGTGTTATCCGAATTTCCAGGAAGTTTTTTTGCATTTTCTCCGAAAATTCTTCTGACTTGTTCTGGTACATTCTACCAAATTCCTTTACGTTTCATTTAACTTTGATTTACGGCTTAGCGACTTTGCACTTGCAGTCAATTTAATTGTTTATGAGAAAGTTTTGACATACTGAGAGGTAAGCACATATCATCGGTAAGAGACGTGTGTGTGTGAGAAAATTTGCGAAAAAATCTAAGGGCACCGGTGGGATTCGAACCCACAATTGCCATTCAGTACACGGGTGCATTGACAATTATGCAACGGTGGACCTATGGTCTACGGATGTATTTGGCTAATCACATTTGAGTTTCGAATCCGTTTCCCACCCTAGTCTTTTTGTGCAAGCGTTCTCTGATACACAACAATCGTCTGTCGTCACGATGCACGGGATTCGCCACCGGTGCCCTTAGATTTTTTCGCAAATTTTCTCACACACACGTCTCTTACCGATGATATGTGCTTACCTCTCAGTATGTTCAAACTTTCTCATAAATGTTTCATTTAACTTTTCCCGGAAGTTTCCGTCAAACGGTTCAGGATTTTTTTTCCAGACTTCACTGTAATATTTTTCTATCAATCCTCCGGATGTTTCTTCACCTTCCTCTAGAATTGTCTTGACAGGTTTTCAGGTTGCCCTCGGATAGTTTTTTTTCTTGGCATCCTCGGGGAAGCTTCAACTGAGTCCAACTTCCATTTTCAAGATGCTGTTTGAAATGTGAAGTTAAAATGGCATCTTCTAAAAGATCTGCTGTTAATAATCCAATTATAAACATATTCATTCTTCAAAGATCTTCAAAAGTCTTTACAAAATATGAAATGTTTTCAAAGTGTCTGCACTGACAAAAAAGTCTTGACAGGAATTCAAACCTACCAAGTGACACATTAAATCACTTGAAAATTCAAAAAATAAGATCATCGATGATCATGTTACATGCCCGGGACCACATTGGATAGGTTCCGGATGTTCATCAAATTCTCAATAACAAAAGAGAACATAGGGGCATAAGGGAAATGGCTCTAATGTTGGCCTATGGATCTAAGATTGGGCCCATCGTTAAAATTTTTGCATTGGGACGGTATTAATGGATATTTTTGGTTGCTATTGAAAATTTAGTCGCTTGCTGAATTTATGTATGGGCCCAAATTAGGGGGTTTTAGGCCAACATTACATCCATTTCCCCTAGTCGTCGTGATTATGAGTGCTCATGACTGCTTTAATCACGAATGGAAGTGTTCTAGATGCCCACAGGCCAATGAGTATCTCGTTAAATTCAGATTATATTTTGGAAATCGCTTCATGGTTGCTGATTTTTTGTTAGGAAAGTTATTTAATTTTTTGATTATTTTTAAAACAGAGCTTCCGCTTAGGTAATTATTATTGTAAAGCATGACCCACTTAGTAATGGAACAACATTAGTTCGGTCTATTTCGGATTTGAATTAAGGAATTTGAAAACGGTTTTCACTCAAGTGCATACTATTTCTTATGTTATACTAGCTGAGTGTGCTCGGGATTCAATATTAGCTTGAGTTTAAGCGCCAATTAAAAAACGCATGTACGCAGCCCCCCCTCTTATCTAAGGGGCTACCCCCTATGACCTCCACACGCCAAATTTGGTTCCATTTGCTTGATTAGTTCTCGAGTTATGCAGAAATTTCTGTTTCATTTGTATGGGAGCCCCCCTTTACAGAGGGGGAGGGGTCTCGAACCATCATAAGAACCTTTCCTTGCCCCAAAAACCCCTGCATACAAATTTTCACGCCGATCGGTTCAGTAGTTTCCGAGTCTATAAGGGTCAGACAGACAGACAGAAATTCATTTTTATATATATAGATTATTTAAGAAAAAATACTAAACCAATTAATCGAACTTTTCACAAGTGGCGCACAGTGGTTTTGGCGATTTTATCCCACCAATTTTTCATCTGAGCTGCTGTTTTGATGACTGTACCTTTTACCTTCAGTTTCCTCATCTTCTTAATTGTCCAGACGATTTCAATGGGCCTGAGCTGGAGGCAATTGGGTGAATTGAGGGTTTTCGGAACAAACTGGACTCCGTTGTCATTGTGCTATTGTTGTTCTTCTCGGCTATAGTGACAACTCGCATAATCCGGCCAAAATGTCACCGGACCATCATGTGACCGGATGAAGGGCAGAATCCGCTTCTGGAGACATTCGGTTTTGTAAATTTCATTTTCTCAGTGACGAAAACCTTTGGCTTCTGGTCGAAGCTGCATATTCCCTGCCAGGTCATTTATTTGCGTGCTAGTTTATCCGCAAAAACAAATTTGAACCTGCCAGGGACACCTCCTCGAGCCTTTGTAAAATTTTGGTCCTGGAAGCTGTTCGAAGTCTGATTTTACATAGATTTCATCGTCCATAAGTATTAGAGTGATGCAAAATTTTAAATTTTCGCTCCACAATACTTAAACGATTCCGGATCCTGACTAACCTCTCAAAATTTGAACCCATTTGGTGAGAAACTGATATGGCACAAACCATTTGAAGTTTGTATGGGAATTACTATGGTAAAACCAAGATTTTTGTTCATGTCTATCTAATAATTCACCATATCGGTCTGCTTCAAAAGCTTTCAACTTAACTTGTAGGAAATTTTCCCAGCTACAACTTTGCTGAAGACCACTTTTTGATTAAATACAAGGATCGAAAGTTATTAATGGTTCAATGCACTGATGTCTTATGATCATGCTCAATCAACTGCTCAGTAGGCAACATTGGTGTTTCTGGGGCGTTGAATAGGACACAAAAATTATGGCTACTATGTCACACTGTAAAATACAGTGTTGCCTACAGAGCAGCTGCTTGATCATGTCATAAGTTTACCAATCGCTTAAATAATTAATAACTATTTCCTGTCTCGTTTAACATAGAAACGATCTTCTGCAAAGTTGTAGCTGAGAAAATTTTCTATAAGAATAGCTATCGAGCTGTTTTGCAGCTCAATATAGAAAAAGACTAGAAGACAATGAACAAAAAGTTGAGATTTCCCATAGTAATTTACAAGTAAACTTCAAATGGTTTGTGCGAAGTCTGTTTCTAACCAAATGAGATGAAACTTTTGGAGGCTAATCACGACCCGATTTGAAACCATTTAAGCACTGTGGAGCGAAAAAGTCAAATTTTGCATCAGTCTAATAAGTATGCACCCACCGGACTTGGTCAGCAGGTTGTCGTACAGCTTTCGAGCACGGGTTCTAGCTACGGTATTCTGCTTGAGTGATCGATTTGGTTGCCTACTGACGCGGGATGCCTTCGCGGTAACGAATTCACTGCACTGTACTACGGGCAGCATCATACATTTTAGTCAAACCGCGATCGGACATACTTGGGTTGCTTCTGATGGACCTCACTTCCCTGAAAGTTTTGAGCACGCGCAAAAATTCAACATTTTAGCCAGCTTGGACGCGGACCACGATGGATTTTCCAGGTGACTGCGCACGAATTTTTTCTACGCTCCTCTTGCATGGTGACTGTCTCAAAACAAGAGCGTTTTATGAACTTAAAAAATACGCTGTTATTGTTATTGTTGTTGTCAACAAATAGACGTCACAATCATCCGTCCACTAGGAGCGCTGTGATAAGCAAAAGAGTTTGTTCCATTACTAAGTAGGCCTTGATTTACTGGAGTTGGTGGGTATATTTCAGTCACGTAAATTACAATTTGCACAGCTCTAATGATGCAATTCATTCGAATATATTGAGAAATAAGTAGATAATACCACGATTAGCTCAAGTATGCCATTCGACCCCACCGTTCCCTAAGCACCCTAAGACGTTGATTGCTTAATTCGAGCTGTTATCGACCTGGATTATCGTGATAAAGTTCTTAAAATAGTAACCACGCGTTGCGCTCCAGGTACACGATTAAAAAAAAAACCTTGCTGCTCCGTGCCTCAAAGCTACGAAGGAAAAACAAATCATACGATTTGTTTATCAAAAATTTGTAATATGATTGAAGACTGCTATTCGTTTGGTGAGCCACCCGCACTGCTGTATTGGTGGGAGAGTTTAAAACGCATTCCAATGTATGTTCAAGTCAACCCTTCAGCAAAACATCCCATCAGTCATATAAGATCACCGGTTCAGATATGATCTGAGACGAGTTGCTTCACTATTCGTATGTATACGTATACGGACATTTAAAGAAGTAGCATTTATCTGGTAGTTCGTGGCTAGTATCAATCGTGGAATTAATGTGTAGTACCTCGGCTGCCTCTACCTTTATAACGACAACGTTGAATCTCTCCACACAGGAACAATACAATTAAGGTCACCGACAGCAGCTCGTTCGGAAGAATAGTCGAACAACCTACTCATAGTTTAGAGGCGCAACTTGTAATCTCACATTGTTTTGAAATTTAAGCGGAACCAAGGCATGAGGTGATATGTGCCGTATTCTTATCAATGATCACCATATGACGAAAGTGAAGTGAAACGACAATTCCAACAACCCCGGTCGTCGGTAATCGAAGACTTATTTGTATGTGCCTGCTTTTAGTGAACTGTGTAGAAGCGGAGAAGAAGTTGTAATCTTCCTCGAGTGAAGTGTAATGGTTCAGCACATCTTACCGCCGTGGTGGTCAACGGTGGCATTACATACGGCCCCAGTAGATTAGTGGTGTGCGTTCAGGAAGGACCTCTTTCAGTGTTGCTGCGTAAACGAACGCGGACGGACCGCGTGGTGATCTCGACATTTTCAAATCGGTCTATTCTACAATCGACAAGTAGAAACTGCAGAGCACAAGCATTCACGATGCTGGGAATCAAATATCTCAACGAAGCCCACCTGAAGGGCTTCGAACGGTACAAAGTAAGTATCCATTCCTGCCTTGATATCACAATGTGAGAATCCGAAGCGCAAATATAGTGTTTATCCCCGGGCAAGTTCTCAACGACAGCATTTGAAAACACAATACAGCAGTTTAGTACAGACCGATGCAACAGCTCAGGTTTGGGTTAGGTGTCTTGTCATTTGTAATGCATGGAGTTGGTTTAATTGTGTGCACATTAGGGTGGATCAAGTTTATCTGGTGGATCATAAACCCCTGCTCTTTCGATTTGTATTGCGGTCCCCAACAACTGTGCCAAATTTGAACGGCGTTGGTTGTTATCTGGATTTGTGGAAGAACTGAAAATTTTGAATGGGAAAATGTGTTTGAAACGGAATGAAACTATTCATTTGCTTGTTAAAAATTCACACATTGCTTAATTGCCCAACACTGAGACTTAGATTGAACAAACTATGTTGTAGAACAATTTTGTTGATGACCGTAAATCGATTGGAATTCTGTGCAAAAAACGTGTCACCAAGTGCTCCGCGAATACCTGTAGACGTGGTTTTCAACGCTTGTACGTTCTTCATTGTGCGATTTTATAAGCAGAAGTAGCTATATTGAGCTAGGTTGTATATTTGACCCACCCTAGTTCACATACAGAAACAAGTGAGTCTGTATAGCGTTGATAAGCAATTTGAGCTTTCCGAAGTGTTGTGTTGCCGGCAATAAGAATACTACATTACATAGTGTATACAAAGCAAAGGTTTCGAAATGCCAAGTGCTTATTCTTTAAAGTTAGAGGCACCGAGTCCTACTCTAAATCAATGGAAAAATTACCTTTGGCTGGTTAATAGATAGTCCAATCATGTGTAGAGTAATAGCCCCCAGCATCCAGAGAGGCACATGTAATCGTTACATATCACTGAGAATTTTCTCATAGAAAACATGGAATTCAGTTCAATTACACATGATTTATCAATTGCGGAAAATTTAATAGGGGAAAAGTTGGCTTCGGCAATACCTTAACCTATTATCGTCAGGGGGTAAACAAAGTCCTAGAGCACTTAAATTTGGCCAATAGTTGTTCTGAAACACAATGTATCCACATGCTAAAATTGAGTTCTCAAGGACGTTGTTTACCCCCTGACGATAATAGGTTAAGGTATTGCCGAAGCCAACTTTTCCCCTATTACAGAGGATGTCGACTACCAGAAAAAAATCAGGGAATTCAATTGATGCAGTGGCGTCGCGAAACCTCACTTTTTACCTGGTCAACAACTTTGAAAATGTTATTTAGCGTCATGTTCAAATCAGTTTCAAAAGGCACAGAATATTCTAGTTTCACTGATTCACAGCAAAAAAATAATTTTGATATCACATCAAAGTGGATGCACTTCAATCGTGTCATACATTAATACAGTGCATGAACTGAAATTACGCTGCTTTTACAACATTTGTTTATTTTTGTGGCAATACAAATTACATTAGATTTTCGACATGATTGAAGTGCATCCTCTTGAATGTAATATTAAAATTTATTTTTTGCTGTATTTGTATCCATTGGAACCAATATTGCTTTATTTGTTTACGTTTTGCGTGTTGTCGAACAGGTAGATTGAGGTTAGGGTGGCACCACTGAATTGTTGAGCTTAAAAATCAGAGAATACATGTAGAAAGGAATACCGACTTCGGTAATTTTTACCGCATTTTCAACAGCTGAACAGTTCGGTAAAAATCAGACATTTTAATGAAATAGTTTTAAGGCTTCAAAACAAGGAAAATTTCATCACAATTGCAAGACTCAACTATTAAAACAAGGCTGACTAATTAAAATTTAGTGAAACAGCTTTTGAAATTAGGATAATAAGTCGGTAATAATGTGCAAGTGTGAATATCAGGGAATTTCTATAAAAATCAGGGGAATATTTCATAGGCATGGACAATCATTTGCATTCATTTCGTGCATTCATCTACATTCATTTGCCTCTAACTTTTTTTTTGAACAGCATTTCGCAAAATGTTGTATAGAACTTCTGTAGGTTTTGGTATTAACTACAACTTTTGTTAACAACTCAAATTTGCATCTCTTATGCATGACGAACCAGAGCGAACAAAAGCCACTACTGATTTTCAGTGAATGTATTTTACATTCACTGAAAAACAGTAACAAGTTCTGCTAAAGTTGTAGCTAATAACAAAACCTACAAAAGCTCTATACATCATTTTGCGCAATGCTGTTGATGAAAAAAGTTAAAGGCAAATGAATGTAAATGAATGTATGAAATGAATGCAAATGATATTCCATGCCTGTCCCCTCCCATTAGTTAAAATTATAATTGATCTCGCTAGTCTTATACAATTTATTTGATCAATGTAGTTTGATGAAATTTGATGATAAATCAAACATTAAATAGATTTGCAAGCATAGTTACTCCAATAATGAAGAATTTTTGCAAGATGAACAGGTTACTCAAGTAAAGGACAAATCGGGATTGAAGTAGTTGTTTACAAAAGCAGTTGCGCCCAAATCCCAAATCAGTCAGGATTTTTGATAGTCAAGCTTAAAGCTACTTTCACTCCTAAGAGAACAAATCAAGCGGAACAATGTATTAGATCCTAAGTAACAATGACAGCTTCTCTTCGTCGACTTTCTCTTTTCATGCTCACAGTCATGTTAAAACATTTTCAGCTATTTTCAGCACACAGATCGATGAAAGAAGCTATTATCTAGCTTCTTATACTACAAATACGAAAAGAAACGGTTCTGTACAAAAGTTATTAACGAAAGAGAAAACCTATGAAGAGAATCAATCAATGTTATTTAGGATTTAATGCGTTGTTCAGCTTGAAATATGTTAAATCTAGACTAATATTTGAAAGGGGCGGAATTCCAAAATCACCATATCAAGAAAACCGCTTCCGAATTTTGATGATCTAAAAAATAATCCCATTTCACATGACTTCCCATTTAATCATCATACACGCCCTGATATTTTCTTACATGTTGTTACCCCCCGGATCTTCCACTCTTTGAACTGCCAACACTGGTGATGCCCTTTGAACTGCCAACACTCGGTATTTTTGTTTCTTCTTTCGCCTGTGGAATTACGTAGGCATCCAAATTATCTTTATCCATTATCCAATCTATCATTGGTTATTATCCCTTATTCATAGCCGGATAATTAGCCGGTGTCGGTGTGGTGTAGTTGTAAACGTGACTGCTTTCTCACCCCAATGGGTCTGGGTTAAATCCCAGCCGAGGTCGGTGGGATTTTTCTGAGGCATGAAAATCTCTGGTCACGTCTTCCTTCGGAAGGGAAGTACAGCCGTTAGTCCCGGCCCAATATGTGTTTGAATGGGTGCGATATCCTACGCAGGTGTGGAAGCTGCCTTCCTGCACATTCGATTGCCGTCAATGGATGGCGATCGATGTATGTAGGTGATTGACACTAGATGGTGGAACAGAGACCGACGTTAAGTAAGGGACAGAAATATCCGGATAATTGTGAAACGGATCAAAATCCGAGGTCAAATTATCCGGATGGAAAAAAAAATGATAGAGATATAATATCCAGTAGTTTTCTTTCCGGATAGTATCTGCACAGTGTCAGTTACCGATAGGGATGGCATCCGCATGTAGTAATAAATTGATATTTTATATTAAGCGAAAATAAAATTCACGAGGCCATTATGGAATCTAAGATGACGGCCATCGGGTTCAGAAAAAGTGTCAAATACCCAACAATAAGGGTATGTTCGGAACGGTGACGACCGGTACATGCCGAAAATCGATGCCTGACGTTATTTTGTAATGCAAGATGACGGAAAACGGATTCCAAAAAAGTTTCAAATACCCTACCCATATTGTAGGGTATTTTACACTTTGTCTGAACCCAATGACCGCCATCTTGGATTCCAAAATGGCATCGGACATCGATTTTCGGCATCTGCGCGTCGACCCCGTTCCGAAAATACCCATATTGTAGAGAATCTGCCACTTTTTATGGAAGCGGAAGCCGCCATTTTTTATTTTTCCTTTATTTACGACACTTTCAGCCTTAGGCGAAAGCCGCCATCTTTGATTTCAAGATGGCGTTAGACATCGATTCCCGGCCTCTAAACATCACCCCGTTTCCAAAAATAGCTACACACTTAGAAATACCTAATCTTACACGTGACGGAATCCATCTTTGACATAAAGGATGAGACGTAAACAAACAAGTTATTTAAAATTAAGCGCTCCGAGACTGAAAAGTTCGAAAGTACGTTTGATTGAGCTGAATTTCGCGTCTATTGTGACTCAATTTTATGACAAAATTGACGCTCGTATATGTCAGTCTCAGAGCACCTAATTTTACATCAATTTTTCTAAGTGTGTATATAGATGCGTATTTGACAGTATTTCCTACTATTTATGGCGTCGGATATCAATTTTCGGCCTCTAAACATCACCCCGTTTCCAAAAATAGCCATATTGATGGGTAGTTGACAGTATTTCACACTATTGATAAAACCGGAAGCCACCATTTTGGATTTCAAAATGGCGTCGGACATCAATAAATGAAATAAATGAAGAAATGGAATTGAAATAAATGAAATAAATTAAATAAATGAAATAAATAAAATAAATGAAATTAATGAATTAAATAAAATAAATTAAATAAATGACATAAATTAAATAAATGAAATAAATGAAAAATATGAAATAAATCAAATAAATGAAATAAATTTAAAAAAATAACATAAATAAAATAATTGAAATAAATTAAATAAATGAAATAAATGAAATAAATGAAATAAATGAAATAAATTAATAAAATGAAATAAATTAAATAAATTAAAGAAATGAACTAAGTGAAATAAATGATATAAATGAAACAAATTAAATAACTTGAATAAATGAAATAAATGCAATAAATGAAATAAATGAAATAAATGCAATAAATGTAATAAATGAAATAAATGAAATTAATGAAATAAATGAAATTAATGAAATAAATTAAATAAATCAAATAAATGACATAAATTAAATAAA